GAACAAAACAATCTTCAAAATTCATCTTTTAGTGAAAGTAGTTAACCAAATTAGTATATTTTGTTCTAACAAATCCTATTTCTAGCGTACACATTCTACTGGTTATCAAAAATTATAAGGATTTATACATACTTATTAAAAGTAGTATTACATAAAGTGTCTTTATGCTTTTATCTTTGAATAAAAGACACAGGTATATTGTGAAATATGCAGAGGTTTTCATTTATCTCTAAAGTGATAAAACCATTCACTACTGCATCTCAGCCTTTTGGCTAAGCTCGAGTGTAAAACAATTCACTAGCATCTCTTCTCATCCATCGTATGCTTTTACTCTTGACTGTTGGAATGACCTAGATGTCAGTGTACTTTGCTGTCCTTTCCTGCCTTCTGAGAAGGATAATGACCAACACAGGACTTTGAAAATTGAAAGTTCATGGTATAGAATGGTCTATATTACTTACAGATATTAAATATCATAATACATATCTTTTCCATTTTCAATCTGAACTAACCATTCCTTTTAGACTTAAAGTATGTTCTATATCTATTCTGTAAAAAATATTGCAATAGATATTGCAATTAGGACCCTCAGGTAAGGTCCATTTATACAAAGTGCAGCGAAGGCAGCTATTGACCCTTAGTCAATACTAAGTTCTAGATACCATGATTAATGTGAAGCACCAAAAAATACTATAAAGAAAATGAGTAAAATGCATGACTTTATCACTTGAATGTAGCCTATTTTAATCAAATAAGATTATTTTTAGGAAAGAACAAATTTCATCAAATGCAGGAAAATTATATAAGAAACTATATATATTTTTTTTTTTAGGTACTGGGAATGGAGCTCAGGAACTTGTGCTTGCCCACTAGGCATTTGTGCTGCTGAGCTATATCCCCAGCCCCCAAACAATATTCTAATAAATCAAAGTTCTTTTATTTGATGATTTCAAGCCAACTTGTCATTGTTAACTTGTAGCATTTCTATTTTGTTTGTCATTCAATCTCTCTGTGTTATCATTTTACATGTTCAAAATATACTCAATGTTCTTGCTCGCTAGACATTTTCAAACATGTTTTTGTGTGGTGCTAACATGTGCTGTAATACATAAAAATTATATTTAATGTTTTCTATAATTAATTTGTGTTTATTTTAAAGGGAGAAAAATCAATTAAAATGATACAGAATTTCAAAACAAGATGATAAGAAATTATTGATTGTTATTATATTGCATATTGTTATCATCAAAGTAGTTTCTCAGATTATGAGATACTGGCATGCAAAATTGATAAACAATATAAGCAGTAACTATTCATTTTAATGAACAAATAGAAATTAGTACTACAATTATCTTAGCTGTCTTGTGTATATATACATATCTTTTCTTTTTTTCCCCCTTCCTTCTTTTCTCATTTCCCTCATCCCAGTTCTTTCCTTTTGAGCAGTTTCATTCCCTTTCACTATATCTATTGTTCCTTTTGGATCTTATTTACACTTTCAGTGTCTTACATTAGGGAAACAGATGATGTTTACACATGCAAGTCTGGTTTATTTCACTTATGAGTATGGTCTCTTGTTGCATCCATTTACCTATAAAAGCCTTGAGTTTAACTTTCTTTATAGTTGAGTAATACTCCACTGTATAGAAATATGCGCACCTATGTTTATTGCAGCATAATTTGTAGAAGCTAAATCTTGGAAATAACCTAACTGTCCACCAACTGAAGAAAAGATATAAAACATGTGCTGTTTTTGTACAATTAACTTAAGCCACTGATTTTAAATACAGTAAGTATGCTAGTAGTTATAGCCTTGTGTTGTCTTTTTAATTAACATTGTTTTTAAGCCTATTTAATTTTTAAAATGTGGAGTACAAAGGAGCATTTCCTTGTATAAAATAATACTTTAAGTTTTTCCTAGAATAAACAGCTTGCACTAGTCTGCATATTGTTTCCAACAAGTGAAATAATATCCACACATTATTATGAATGAAATGTCATCCTGTGCATCACGGTACACTCTTTGTGCTGTATCACCTTTGATTTCTGAAAATTGCACAGTGATGCCTATCCACACTCATAGAGATTACTCTTAGTACAATAAATACTCCCTGTACCCAAACTATTCCTCCCTCCTTCCTTCACCCCACAGGAGCATTACCAGGAGCATTTCCTGGTAACCAGCAATATTCTTTGCTCTCTTCATAGTTTTACCTTTCTAGAATGTCAATATTTCTACTTGTGTACTATATACACTTGTCAGCTGGGATTGTTAAACATGATGAATACATAGAGTGAATGTTTAAATGTTTAAAAATATATTAAGAGATACACTGCCATCAGTCCTCCTCAGAATGTACCTGTTCACATGAAATACACTTATCCTAATGTTCTTGTTACTTTCCCAGCAGTTCTGGGAGTCCCTTCTTGTGAATGTCTTTGATTGCATGTGGTGGCTCTAGCTGTCCTGAACGGATTCCAAACATTTACCTCACCCTTTCATTTTGACTCTCTTCCCTCCTTTCCATTTCCCCCATTAGTTGCTCTTTTCTGTTCAACAGTTTCTTCCCAATTCAAAATATCTATTTTACATTTTGTATCTTATTTACTCATTCAGCTTCTCACACTAGTGAGACAATGTAATGTTTACACATACAGGTCTGATTTATTTCACTTATAAATATGGTCTCAAGTTGCAAACATTTACCTGTAAAAGTTTTGAGTTTATAGTTCTTTATGGCTGAGTAGTAATCCATTATATTAACAAAACACATCCTGGTTTTTTTTCTATTCCTTGGTTGGTAGGCATTTGGGTTGTTTCCAAGATTTAGCTATTACAAATTGTGCTGCTATAAACACGGGTGCACATATATCACTTTGGTATGATGTTTTTAGTTTTCTGGGAAGATACCCAGAAGTGCAATTGCTAACTTTAAAAAAATAAAGAGAAAAACTGTCATGGAGGAAAAGGGAAAGGAAATAAGGGAAAAGGAAAAGAATATATATATATATATATATATATATATATATATATATATACACAAATATATCTCCATACACATGGAAGATAGTTAAGAGAGTAATACAACCAGTTTCTTTTATTTCATTGAAAAGAAAGTCTGTGGTAATATTGTTTTGACAATGTTTCATGCCTATATCTTGTACTCTGAAGAAGTGCTATGTACAAAACAATACACGATGTACTAATTATAGTTAGTGTCCTATTAGTCTGTATTGAAACTGTTTTATTGCTATTTTTAAATTCTATTTTTAAAATGCTGACCAAGAGCAAATTGGACCCTGTAGTCCACTCTCAAATATTTACTCAGAATGTATTACAATTCTGTTGCTGGTTTAATGGTCATAAATGGATAGATATGTGATATGTTCTTATAAAAGGGAGGTTTACTAGGAAAAAATTCCCAACATGTAAATTGCCCAAATATAGAAAAAATCAGAGAACATTGACATTAAAGGTTTTGAAACATGGATACAGTACCATGGTCCTACTTTTTCCATATCAATTAAATTTGAACAATAGTTATTCAAGTGGGAGAGTTAGAAACTGAGGCAGTAAATGTAATTGTCAACTGGCCTGGATTGAGAATCTCCTGGAGAGGTTACTATATCATCGTGGTGTTAAAATTTTCATTGCTTATTAGTGAAACAGATTTAACATAATTTATACAAATGTATAAAAATTTACAAGATTGGTTTACAGTAGATTCAAGTATGGAAAAATGTAAAAGCTCTGCCTGCTCACTGAGATCTGAAGGCTCCAGTCGAAGGTCTGGAGCTTATTACACTTCCCCATAGGACTCTGCTTCAGGATGCCAAAGGCTCTGCAGTAGAAGGCTGAAGAGTCTGCACTGGATGCCAGGAGAGGACATTTAAGGTCAAAGTGAAGATTGGGGCCCTGTGAGGAAACTAAAGCAATCCTTCCCTCTCATTTTCCTTTTTATTCTGGCAACAGTCCTCTATAGGATGGGTTTTCCACACCCAGAACTATGCTGTTCATTTAGTTAGGCAGCTCTTACTCAGCTGACACAGTCAGCAACTATCACAGGGTATTACAGTAACCAGTGGGTTAACCCGCTGATGTTCATAAATGCGTGTCCTGTGAGGAGCTCAGTCAGAGAGGGTGGGTCACTGGTGTGTTTGGAGGGTGTATCTCTTGGTTGCGGCTGTCCCCTGGGCTCTGCTTCACAGGCTGCCATGATTTAAGCAGCTTTGCTGCACCATTCCTTTTTGCCTTGTGTCTGCCTTGGTATCTACAGTCACGGACTGAATCCCCCCAAAATATGAGCTAAATATTTAAGTACCTGGTGTCGTGTATATTTTCCTGGGTCAAAAAAGCAGATTAACACCACAAGTATATGATAATATTAGTAATGATTGTAACATATCATAGAGATACATATATATGCAGATATAATTAATATATATTAATATGTATGATATTTAGATATATGTTTTTAATAAATATTTATATATTTATTAGATATGCATATCTAATATAGTTTAATATATTAATATGATATTTAGATATATACTTTGATATCTATATACATCTATCTAAATTATTATACATTATACACAAGCATATTTAGAAATACAAACTTCATTATAGTTCTTTGAAGGGATTAAGTAGGTAACATGCAGATGAATGATCCTGGATCAATACTCAACATTTATATATAATTAGACTTATATGCCACTCTTCCTGTAAACTCTGTTCCCTTTTATCCTTGTAATCTGAAACATTCATGCATTTACTCACCTTACATTTCCATTCTTTTTATTCTACAGTTATTTTTTAGGTTCATATTAGTTGCCCAAGAGACTCACAGGGTAAGGTTAGAAAAGACCACATACAGGCATACAAGGAGAATATAAATACAGTCTAGATGGGACTAGCACTAAGTGCAAAAATAAATACAAGTATACTCATTTATATAGAAATTCATATGTTCTAAAGCTCTTTTTCCATATTGTATCATTCTCTTTTTTAGTTAATATTGCTTTTAATGGATTTAACAGATGTGTACTTTTCATTTTTCAGGTAAAATAATTTTATGAAGAACACAATATTGTAAAGGGAAAATACTTGCCAGGTAAATAGTACATTTGCTTTAGTAGCAAATCTACCACTGCATAGCTGTGAGAATGAAGGTAGTGGGGCAAAAATTTACTAGGAATTAAGCAGGTTAAAAACAGACTGTTTCAAGAGAGAGGTGATATTAAATGTCAAAACTTTTAGAAATAACATTCAATAATCAAGAAATAAAATATATGATTACAGTTAAAACGATCAGATATGAGTCCCATATCCTGCAATACTTTTGTGCTTCGTGTGTATTAAATTAAACTGTTACTAATGTGTACCAAAAGAAAATATAATAAACTTATCCTAGACATGATTTTTATAATTAAATGTGATTTCACTTACAGAATAGGTATTTTACATTTCTCTATTTTTTTGAATCTCATAACTCCTATTCCCACTTCATTCTAATTGGCATCTGATCATAAACCATTTGTCATACTGAGAATGCAAAAATAATTAAATGCAGTCTTCATCTTCTCACTGTCAATCATACAACCATGCTGTCTGTGGCTTTTACATTTCCTGTTGTTACAAAATATGAAACCTTCATACTCTTCAACATAGTGCTTGATTCCTTCATTCTCACATTCCCATTTATTTTTTTTTAAAGTTATTTTTTATCCCAAATTGCCAGGCACTTTGTATTTATTTGGTTTTTCTTATGAATCTAAAAGAATACTAAATCTAACATTTACTTTATATCTATCTCTTTGATCTACTGCAGGATAAAACTTTCTCTAGTGAAACCCTTACTAATATACCACCTAAAGAATGCCAAAGGTCTTATGTATCCAATTCTTGGAACTATTCAAGAATATCGGAAAACATGGCAAAATATGCAGTTGCTATAAAGCAACATGAAGCTCAGTTCTTACCTGATAACATAGGGTTACATTTATTTTAATGAAATAATTTGACAAAAAATGTAGGATGGGAAAAACGACCTAGCAATTTCGAAAAGACAGTAATTATAGCAAAGTAGAAAAGAATGAAGTTTCTTCTGAAGGTGTTGTCATGTTTGTGTTCAAATTGCAAGAAAGAGGTTCACCAATAAATTAATTGTGTACATTTTAGCCAGTTAGACATGCAGAACTTATTTTAAATATCAAGCAATAACTACTGAAATTATTGAAAATTCCTGTCATGATTTTCAACGAGGATAGAAATTATAAATTTCATGATGTTTATATAGTTAATTGGTATTTGTTGGGAAAGTTTATTAGGTGTATTTGCATTGTAAATATTAAAGATATCATTCTCTCAGAACCACTTTATTAATGTATAAAATAAATCATTACTTATAGATGAAAATGTTAAGCAATTTGTCAATTATCAAGTAAACTGAATAAGAAATTAGGAGCATAAAAAGTTTATGTAATGCATTTAATTGGAAACTTAAAAGATCATTAAAGATGGAGTGTTTGTGTTTTAATACCGTTTTAAAGATATAAACACTGACTCAGGGAAGATCTATAGTTAGTAGAAATAGATATATTGTTCCATTATTATTTCTAAAATATAAATTTCTCATGGAAATGCACTGCACAATATGAACATCTTTTTTAGTTAAAAAGGTACTGAGAAATTCTTGGGTTAAATAAAACTCCTTCTGTCTATTTTGATAAGACAAATTATATGCTACATAGTTCTTACTATGTAGATGCTATGTTCCATTTTTGAGAAAGTCTACAGTATAACACAAAGTAAAAGCAATTGTATGATTAAGGTATAATAAGTAGACAGTGCAGGCTCATGTCCATAACCCTAGCGGTGTGTGTCACTCAGTCAGGAAGACCACAAGTGCGAGCCACACCTATGAATATCAGCAGCACAGTGAGACACTGTCTCAAAATTTTAAAACAGTAAAACACAAATAACTGCTAGGGATGTACTAAGTGCAAAAGGCTTGAATTTAATCTACAATACTGTAAAATAAATACTGAAAATAACTAGAAAAATGAATAAATAAGTAAATAAAAGAAAAAAATAACAATAGTGAAAGTAGGTTACAAAAATTAAAAAAAAACTTGAACTTTAAAAATTTGAAATGATAATAAAATGAAAAGAATTAGATAATCATTCTTCTATGAAAATTGGCAGAAATGATATTGAATTTCTCCACGAAATGTAAAATATAGTGCCCCATGACTACATACATTTACTAGTTTTCTACTCAAAAACTGAAGAAAGATACACCTGAAATCAAATTTATAGCTTTGTCCTTTTATCTCCTTCATGTTAATGTAAAGTAGTAGAACATTTTAATTTAAATAGAAGAAAATGCTGAAGATAATGTTGTTAGTTGTGTATAATTTAGGAAAATAATAATGTAATTGCCTTATAATTTTTAAAGCATAAAATTAGAAATATATTTTGATACATCTAATAACATCACTTGATTTCATGATTAAGTTAATTGTTCCATACTTGATTGCCTATTGAGATAAAATTACCTTGGTATCATCAAAAGACTGAAGAATTATCGTTACCATTTTAGATGTATATCTGAGAAAGCAAAATGATTTGTAAATGAATCTTCATTTTTCTATGTATGAAGCACATATCATTGGAATAATTTTACTGAGATACGATTGAAATACCATATGTGTAATTGCTACAATTTTAAAAGGGTAAACTTTAAAATATCTATAAACTTTATTTGTAAGGGGAAGATGTATATTAATGTGTTCATTTGCCTAACAGCCTTTGAATACATATTTCAACAAGTGCAAATTCAGAATGAGAGTGTCCAGTACTTTATCAGTGGTAAATAACTTTGGTGGATTTAAAATTTAATCATGATCACTTAAGTACGTGAAAAACCAACTATATTACTGTAATTTTCTTTTGGAGATACTAGTTATGAAAAATTAAAATCATGTGGACTGATAATTCAATAAAATTTATGTGGGTCATTTTCTTTCAAAAATCTTCCTTCACACTGTTATTTTTACTGTACACTGTTTACTGGGTAGAAAATGTACCATTTTCTTTTGCCCCAGTTTGTGACCTCATTGCACTTTTGTATTGATTGATTGATTGATTTTGTTGGCAGGAATCAAACTTGGGACCTTGCACATGCCAGGCAGGCACTTTACCACTGAGCTACACCCCAAGCCCCTGTATTGATTTATTTTTATCTTTCCTTTTATTTTAGAATTCCTATTTAAGGAATATATTGATATGCTCTATTAACCATTCCCTTCATCAGAAATATTAACATACTTTGACAGGCATTCTTCACTCAGACTTAATATAATCCAGTTTATTATATTCTACTACTACTAGTGTGTACAAGTATTATTCTCTAATCTCTCAACTTCCAATAAATTGAATGAAACAGTAAAAGATCAGTGGTTTTCCAGTATTTGAAAATCAGGAACTTGGTAATAATCGAGTAATGAGACTGCAGCAAACTATGAATTTTCCTCTTCATCTAGAATGAAGAATGATCTTGAGTGTCTCATAATGTTCATCAGGGCATGCTATGTCCTCTGCAGTGTTCCAGGGTCACAATAAATAACCTTCCATCTCATCCCATTTGTTGACAGTCTTGTCTCTACAAAATTGCTTCCAAATACGAATCTCCTTCTGAACTTTGTGATATCACTCACTTATTTCATTTGCTAGAAAATTCCTTAGTTCTATTTTCCTGACTAATAATCCTGACCATCTAGGAATGTGGACATGAGGTAGGAATACAACGAATCACTGTAGTGACTTTTTAAAATAGAGGGATATATTTGATTCATTATTAAAACCTCTGATACTTGAAATACTCATTATATATTTAAATGTAATTGGATAATGAAAGGCATTTTCTTCACATTTCACATTCATAGTGGTTAAAATTCCAGTCCTAATTCAAGGGCCATATAAATTGCATATGCCTAACTGGGTACATAATCTGATACAACATAAATTGATGATTTGAATACTTGAAAGCTATTGTGAACAGCCTGACTTTTGGAAAACCAAAGAGATATAATAAAATCACCATTTTTATGGCACTAAACGAAGTTATTGTGAAATTTTTCAATCATCTAGTATTACATTTAAATCTAATATCTATGATTTGTATTATTAAAATACTGATTAAAGCAATAAAGTTTATTCCACTATGTTAATATGTAGAAAGTGAATAAGGTTTAATTACTTGAAAAACAGCTTTGGTAATTATAGAATGTGGCCTTTTCCTGTATATTTTCAAGTATACATTTAGTAAAAAATAATAAAATAAAATGTTAAATGGGCCCATTAGGTAAATTATATAACTGAAATTATAAAGTGGCATTGGACAACAGGTGAATTCCAGGGAACATGAATTAGAAAAATGTATCTATAAGACAGAAGAAATGTGAGACACATCTGGTACTCAGTATAAAAATGACCACATGAGCAAAACTTGAGGCAGCAAGAGGGTGAAGAGAAAATGAACAAATTACAAGAGACCAGAATTATACTGGTTTTTATGCTGAGGATTGTCTCTTTAAATCTCAGGATCAGGCATAAAGCTCCAGCAGAAAGCAGAAACTGAGTTTGATATATTATTAAGGGGAAGGTAAAAATTTATTTTCAGAAGTAAGAAGGCATATAAGATGTAAAGGGCATCTTAAAGTAATCCTGGAGAAAAATAACTCAGAGGAGTGAATCCAGAATTCTGAATGCTTTAATTCTCTAGGTCATTGGGAAATCCTAAAAAACCCGCGAGTGAGAAGCCAAGAAATCAATCAAAAAGCAATTGCTAAGTGACTAAAAAGCTAAGAGCTTTGGGTAATCTTTTGTAGCAAAGGAAACAAAATTGGACTGCAGGACAAGAGAGGAGAAAGGACAACAATAAACACACCATGAATTCAGTTGAGATTCTAAAAGGTTTTGCCCTGAAAGTAAAATGTGAACCAGAAGAGAAGATGAGTCCACAACAGAGGCACAAAACAATCTAAGTTCTTTGTTGAGACAAAGTAATATGCTTTCTTTACGTTCCAACGAAGAGCAAGCAAATTCTTCCCCCAAAGGGAATAAAAGTCTCTAGAGCTTTTTAGCTTTTTTTCTTCTTTCCATCTAGGTCTTGTTTATGTGCTTGTTTGATTTTGGTGATACTAGGGATTGAACCCAAATTTTCATGCTAAGCTACATATCCAGCCTTTCTATTTTTTCTTTTCTTTTCTTTTTCTCTTTCTTTTAAAAAACTGTGTCTTTAAGTCTCCAAGTGCTGAGGCTGGGTTCAAACTTGAAATCCTCCTCCTTCATCCTCCAAGAGTGTTAGGGGAACAGCAACGGACCACCAAGCTTGGTTTAAATTTTTCAAATGCAGAATACCTCATGCAATTGACAGTTTCTTATTATGAACAGGAAAAAAAAATCAAGAGAAAATGCAGCAATTGAAGCAGTTATATCTGTGATCCAGATAATTAGGTCTTCAGACCTGGAATCTAAAACAGTGAATAGCAAGATCAGGAATTACACTGCGGAAACTTAAATCTTGGTCTGGCACCTGATGATTTGGATTAACTCAGGCTGCTGGCAGAAATTGAAAACATTACCCTGCGGACAAGAATGACTGGTTTTAGCTATTATGTGTGTTCAGAACAGTTGCTGTTAATGGGTATAGAGAGGAATCTATTACAGTTCATCAGAATAAGTTGGCATTCCCAAGCACAGTGTCGCCTATAACAAGCAAGAACTAACAAGTAAAGCCTAGTGAAAATATGGCAAACAAGATTTCAGTAAGTCCTACATCAACCGAGGTTCATTTTATTTTTCATCAGCAAAAATATCGACTAAATAAGAGGTGAACTAACAGTGGATAATGGACAATGAAGACTGTAATTATCAGATATTGACTGTAAATCAAGATTAACAATAGGACCTTATTCATTTCATTAACCATTCTATTGTAATTTTTCCAGAAATTGTAGTCAAATAACATATTGGTGAGTTTAAGCCAGTTACTAAATGTTTCACAATTTTCATGTGAAATAATTTAAACTGTGGGGGTGGAGGGATGGATGTGTTTGGTAAAAACATTTTCCAGTGTTTTCTTAACCAACTGGCATAATCATTCTCCATTTCTGTTGCTGTCACCAATGAAAGTGTTACCTGTTCCTTTAAACTGAGGCAGTGCTTTCTCTGTGGCATGGTAAGTGTGCTAGAGATTTCCTGTGGTATAAGCCTGACACTTGTCATCAGCTGACATAGCAGCAGGGAACAGAAACACCCAAACGTCATCCAGGATTTGGAGGTGAATGTATTTATGTCTACAGGCACTGACCTCTAAAAAACATCAGCCTCGGGCTGGGGATTTAGCTCAGCGGCAAAAGCGCCTGCCTGGCAAGCGCAAGGTCGTGAGTTCGGTTCCCGGTACCGGAGAAAAAAAAAAAAAAAAAAAAAAAAAACAAAACATCAGCCTCTAAGGCTCAGGGAGGGAAGTTTTTATGGAGTTTGCAACAAGAAGCAGAGCATGTGGCAGTTATTACTTGGTTCTTACAATATGCATCACAGTGACCAACTATGCATCACAGTGATGAGTCTTTCCTAAGAAACAGATGTAACAGGAACTGTAACAGGAACTAAAGTAAACGAGGTTACCAGGGTAACTAACAGAAACTGAAGTATACTGCCTGGTGGGGGACGTTTTCTGCTACAACATGACAACTTTAATTAATTTATTTACCCTTATTATGAAAGATTATCTCCCAGTTATATGAGGGCTATGGTGCCAAAGAGTCTGATATAACACCTCTTTATGATATTTTCTGTGTATCCTTGAAACAGAATTCCAATGGAGATATCAAAAAATATCATAGGCGAGTATGATATAGGAAAAAAAAAATCAAATTTCCAAATCTCTGAGAGGTCATTTCATGTTTCTGTTTATGAGCATGTATCATTTTATCTTCAGTCTTCACATGGACCTAACTCCACTTTGTTAGCATAGGATGCTTGCGATCATCATTTTTCTGTGCTATCCCCAAATTTGCTTTTTACCATTCAGATTTCTACAGCTGAGTATTTTCACACACATGCACACACACACACACACACACACACACACACACACACACACACACAGACAGCGACACAGTAAAAACAGAAGTACCATAATAATAAACACAATAATAACAATGAAAATTCCTGACCTTGTGTAACTTTGGAACTCATGTCTTTTTCCATTGTCACAACAGGGAAGAAAGGTAGTCTTAATCTGAATTAGTGCTTTGCCATTATATTGCTTTTAAATAAAGTATATTCAGTTTTCCTACCTGTGTTTCCATTAGGGAAGAGTGATGATACCAGTGATTGCCCCATTATGTACATGAGCACTATATTGGACGTTTGCTATTGGAAATACAATGAATTAATTTTTATTTACAGATTGCCTTTCACTTCTACTCATCATTAGAACGTTTTTAGAAATTATAATGGAAACATTTCACTTAATTGTAGTTTCTAATTCTCATTTGGCTAAAATATACAAACATCTTTTTTTATAAGAACTTCAGCTCTGTACACAAAGTTTTTATGAATTTATGTTTCAAAAGGATATTTTTCCTATAGTGGGTGCTTTTAGTTAAATAAGATTAAAAATAAATGCAGTTGTTTACTAAAACAATTGAACTACTAGACAATTGTTTATTAAAACAATTACTTCTAAGTAATCATATGCAAATCCACACTATCATCACCAGGTATAACGACCATTACCAATGAAAACCTGGGACTGCATAAACAGGAAGCACCTAAGTAAGGAAGTTCATTCATGCCAAGGTATTATGTGTACTTTGATAACCAAAATTTTTAAAGTCGGTTTAATTTCTGCCAGTGTTCAGTAGACAATTATCATACACTAAGATAAGCATAAGCAGAATAATATTAATTCAGGTCATCTTTCATAATTATCATTTGTTTATAACCATTTAAAACATACTACAAATTGAGAGTTTTGCGTAAAAATACACGAACATAAATCTGGTCATCTTTTGCTGATGTTTTGTAGAGTGTTTGGCAAGCAGTTGTTTCCTGCAGTAAACATGCTGACTGATTTTAGTGGCCTTTTGAGTATGGATTCCCATCTTGTTTTATTGCTATGATAAAATATCAGCAAAAATGTATGCATTCTTTACCAGCCTCTAGAGAAGGCCGGAAGTAAATCAAAAAATAACTGTGATAAAGAAGAATACACTTTGCAATTTTAGGTGTTATCGTTTATATTTCTTGAGGAGACACTTTTATTGGGAGATTTTAATGTTTATAGTAATATATAGTATTTAGATGAATTTCCAGCAGAATAAAAAATAGATCATTAAATTAATGATTATTTTATCTACTGCCACCAGTGAGTCTTTGTAAAGTTAATTTCATAGGTCAGAAAATAGTTATGTTATCACTGATAACCAAAATTTCTAGACTAATGCTAACATAAATGAAAATAAATATTCCTGAGATTGTGTTTTTGACAGATCTCTGAAAACCTTTCTCTAGGTACATATGCCCACCCATGAAATCACTAATCTCAAGAAGGAAATCTGAAAATTCTCAAAGTTTAGTGATTCAAAAGTTAACACTTTATGAACAGCCCTAACAATACAGAAACAAAATCATTATTGTAATGATAATTATTGTGTCTGTCAGAGAAAATTTAGATTAGGATACATTAATCATTTTATAGTGACCTCTAAAATAGAAATTTCAATGTAAACTTTGAAGTTCTACCAAATAAACCTATAGGTGTGTTGATATCTGACTAGAACTTATGAATAAATGTTTATCATTTGCCTCTATAACATATATTCAATTTAAAACATATATATCACTCTCTTTTACATGAAATACTTTATCATTTCAAAAACTGGTTTCACTAATCAATTTGTTTTTAACAATCACCAACTGAGAGATGAAGGAATCTAGTGGTATGGATGAGACAAAACATTTAAAACGAAAAGTTATATTTAAAGAGAACAAATTAGAAAGGGAATAATAATGTCATCATAGACTTAATGGTTTGCCTGTTTAAAAAGAATATAGAGAAGAACTCAAATACTTGGTAAATAAAACATGTTTTTCAAGAATATGTAAACTTAATAATATGTCTGAGGATATCACTCCAAATAATAATGAATAAGAAACATAGGGGCAGAAATAAAGAGGATTAATTCAAGGTAGTCCTTTTTTTTTTTTTTTCCGGTACCAGGAATCGAACTCATGACCTCGCTCTTGCCAGGCAGGCGCTGTGCCACTGAGCTAAATCCCCAGCCCCCAAGGTAGTCCATTTTTGAAGAATAAAATAATATTATTTCTAAAAATTTGTCATAGTTTCTCAGCTTTATGTGTCGTAGTTTTTCAAATAGTTTGTTCTGTGTTTTATGAAAGGTACTATTCAGAAAGGTATTGTTCAGAAAGGTACTGTTTTTCAAAATAATGTTGAAAGAAACATGCTCAATTTTAGTTTTTCAAAATTTCTAACTTTGATTTTGCGCTTTCAAATTTCTAGGACTGTATGAAATAATATTCCTGGCAAACACAAGGTCCAGAGTTTGATTGCCAGTCTAAATAAAGAAAGAAAAAATTTTCAATTTTTTATAAATTATGCAGTTTCAGAAAGCCTGCTATAGGAGCACAGATGAACTCATATAACACTTACATATTCTTCGTGTGTGATTATGTGCACAGGTGCAAGTTTTACACACATACTATTTTATAATTATTGTGACTAAATATACAGTGACCAACTACTCATCCCTTAGAAAAGGAATCTCTCATTCTTTACAAATATCTTTCTGTCAAGTGTTGATGTTTTTCAAGTGAGTATATTAATCTATGTTTTACCTGGATTATTAATCTCTACTTTATAGAACAGTGCAGTTTATTTAATTTTTCCAAAGAGACAAAATACAAAGTACTTTTAAGTATTTAAGAACAAATGCCAAGGAAAATTTCACAAGAAATGAGATTAGTTAAGGTTAAAGGTCGTCAATACACATTCAGAAAAACAAGTTCTACTACTTTAATATTCACGATCAATAACAAATGGCAAAGTTTATAAATTCCTCATCAGGTTGCAGAATCATGCTAAAGAATCTATTTTGACAAACAGCCAAGCTAATGAACCTATCTGTACACAGATATGGCCTTGAGCCATGCAAATTTTATTTTCTCACTTTCTATTAAGAAGCAAATAATGATCAGGGAAATATTACATTTTTGTATGATTAAAACAAATGGGATGGACAATGTTAAATTGTATCTGATTACACGGCAATTAAAGGAGTAGTACTTTGCCTCTGTTTTCCAAATGTGCCTTTCATATGTATAAACTCTAAAACAAAATACATGAAACTTCTGTACTAAAGAAAATTCAATCTAAATAATGAAGGAACACTAACTTTTAAATTTTAATTGGGTTGTAAAAATAATCATCCTACTCTATAAAAGCTGTTATCCCTATTATAAGCATACATTAATATCCCATACATGGTTAATTATGTCCACTTTGCTTTAGTAGTATAATTTTGAAAATGAAACACAAATTGAGAAAAAGTGAATTAGGTATACAAGATTACATAGTTTGCATTTTCTATTTTATTTAATCACGAGCAACATGCATCTATAAAATTTATTTGCTTCATATTGCTAATAAATGTCATAAATAATTCTTCTCTAACTGCTGGACCAAGATGTTCACTTACAGTACTAAATTAAGAAATGCCTTAAAATGTAACATTTAAAACATTATGGTGCTAAAACAAGTGAAGAAGGCAATGATTCTAAGTGTTTCCCACTTAATTATGAGTCTACGTAGCAAGCTTCTGAATCCTATTGCTTGTGATTTGAGCATATTTCCTTCCCAAGATTTTCGCTATTTACTATTCAATAATGCTATAAAATTATAATGTTAACAACAGTATGTGCGTGACAGCCTGTGGCATAGGCAGTAAACCTCTGCAAACCAATGTGTTCAGAATGTTGTTTTGGTTGTTTCTTTTTTCCTCCCAGCAAGAATGGGGAATAAAAATGCTCTGAGCACTATTTAGCATCTTTATTCATGTTTTCTAACTTCTGCTGTTTTCCTTCTTATGCCAGTGGACAATTGCACTTCAGTTTCCTATATTCCTTCACCCAAATGTGGAAGCACCATTCTATCCGGACTCTACAGGTTCTTGGTGCTAAGGAGAATACATTATTTTGTTGTTGGTGTTTCTTGGTGGGCATGAATAGAAGGGCTATGGCAATTCTACAGAAGCTGTTGGTAACTATTCCAAACAGATTTTTGTCACATTTATTGTTTTTCATTGACTTTCTCTAGTGTTTTCCTGTTTTCAGTTTCATACATTTCTGCTTTGATGTTTATTCTCTCAGTTGCTTTTAGCTCATTATATTCCTTTTATTCTGTTTCCTTGATGTAGGAAATCGTATTATTAAATGAAATCTTTCCTCTTTTCTAATGAAAGCATTTAGTGACATGAATTTTCCTTTTAAGATTTATGTGCTTCCCATATATTATGTTCAATTTTCATTTTTCTTCAGTTTAATACATATCTATTGTCCTGTAAATTTTCAATTTGACTATAAATTATTTAAAATATATACTGTTAACCTGAAAATACTCAGAAATTTACCTTATGTCTTTCTGGTATTGATTTCTGCATTCATCTCAGTGTCAGCAGAAAATACAAACTCTGCATAATTTCAGTTCTTTTCAATTGGTGAGGGTTGTTTTGTGGTTTAGGGTATGGGGTTATTATGGGATGGTAAGATGTCCTGTGGTGCCAGGCTCTTGATGTCTATTTCAAAAAATTCAATAAGACAATTGATGAACTTGGAAATGTGATGTTTGTTTAAAGGAAAAGAAATGAAGAAAAATGAAGTTTAAAAAAGAAGAAAAGTAAAGATATGTCTTACTCTGAAGATGGGCAACCGAAAGAATGGGAGGACAGAAGTCCCCATGAAGACAATGAGCGTGTCTTTCATATCTTCTTTTGACTTCAGAACCTGGCTGTGATTTGACATTTCTCCATGAGTGACAGGTCACATCCTATTGTCCAGCCTCTTTGCCATGCCCTAATCTCTTACCTCAGTCTCTTAATGTTACATGCTTGCTTCAAAAATGGTAATTCTGGTATTGGGTGGAGTGATCTATAAATGGCAGTGAGATTCTGTTATTGGATTGTGTTGCTCAGTTCTTCTACTCAATTTCTGATTTTCTCCCTAGTCCTTGTATAAATTATTAAGAAAAATGAAATCTTCAGCTATCATTTCCAAAGATTATGTCTATTGTGTGCATTTTTTATTTCTCTCTTGGGATCTATCAGTTTTGCTTAATGCCCTTCAAAACATACCTTAATCACCCTCATAGCTTTGAGATACAGATGCTGACCTATTTTTGTCCACCTCTCTAGTCAATTTTCCTGCTCATTGATTATTTAAACCTCCAAATTTCTATTTGCTCTTTTGAAATAGTAACTATATTTTAATAATTTTATTTTGTTTCCATAGATGTTCCCTGATTTCATTAGTTATCTATATTTGTTCTTTTTAATATTATTGGCCACATTGAGAAAGTTATTTAAATTGTTTTCTCAAGTAATACTGAATTTTTTCCAGTGGTGGTGATTTAACCCAGGGACTTTACACTGAGCTACATTCTCATGCTGGTTTGCACTTTTTATTAATTTATTTTTATTTTGAGACAGGCCTCAGTATGTTACTGAGTTGTGCAGGCTGGATTTCAATTCAAGATTCTTCTGCCTCAGCATCCTGGGTAGCTGGCATTATAGGCTGGTGCCTCAACACCCAGATAGGTCTTTGTCTTTTGTTAATTAGCTTCTGGAGAAAATGGGTTTCCTTTCATTGAAGTATATTTCCCTGTTTATGTATTTGGGCAAAAATCTATCTTTTCTAGTAGAGTTAGAATGGCTGCATCCCCAAAAACACCTGTACCAATAAGCCTTTCTAGAGGTTCTACCATCTCTCAAAATATTTCTTGCATGTTTCATTACTGACCTCGTGAGTTTGTTTTTATTCTAATGTATATAAATACTTTTACCTATTTCTTATACTTTCCCTTATGACCTTTCAGTGTAGGTTTGTACTTTATTCTTTTGTTTGTAATACTTTGTGAAATCCACATCCCATCCCCCAATACCTAAACAAGGTATTGAATTCTTGCTGCCCCGATACTCCATGGAACTGCAGGCTTTCAATCTGCTGCCCATATTGTGTCCTCCAGCCTTTCACTGGTCTGCATCATGTGAGATAGAAATCAGTTTCTTAAGTGCCAGAATTCTGGGTAGAGGTATTGGCTTTTTCTTTCCTTTCTCATGGAGGACCCAGAAATGGGAAATTCTGATTCTGCTACAGTACTGTGTAAGGGAACGGACAAATGTGAGTTAAGTGTAGAACTTTGCCACTACACGGAGTCTAGACTTTCTCAGCAACATACTAAACTGGATGACATATCTTCTTAAATGTTTAATCAAAATATGGCAAAGACCAAACTTTAAATAAATTTCTATATATAAATTTTACTAAGAAAATGATGAGGTATCATCTTTTTGTAATAAAATGATAATGGAGGAATAACAGACAAATTAATCATATAATAATTAAGAGATAAAAATCAGTGATGCTTAATAGATCCATGATCAAGTCTGGAAGATATTTCAGAAGATTGACCTAATTTGAGGTCAAATTAATGAATCTGAGGAATGAGAATAGTTCTCATTTCATTTTAAATGTGGAAACTAGAGACAGAGTTACATACTTCTATTGAAGGGAATCTCCTGCTTTTTCCATTGTAAGCTAGATTAGTGATAGGTAAGAAATACCGGGTTCTTATATAAATCCATTATTGCTTTCTACTTTGATTCATCAGATTGTGACATTAGAACATGAATATCAGACTTCACCTCCTATCACTTAAGAATTTGTCATTTATTTATGAAAAAATGCATTTCTCCAGTCCACCTGTTTTCACAAAAGAAGTTTTATGAAAAAATTCAAGATTCCTATTATAGTTAGGTATATAATGTTATACAAATTTATATATGTAGAAATCTATGCTTTGATTCATATTCCTGAAAAAGTCTTTGTGGTCTTGTCATTGATAATTGTCTAATTTATTGAGCTTTACATGTCATCATCACCGTTTCATTCCAAGCTCTCCAACCAGCTGCTTCACATTCCTCTATTATGTTGAAATTCATATGTATTTTATAAATATTGTCTTCCTAATGGAAATTTCTCAAATGTCATGTCCTGCTCCAGTGCTGATGTGTATACGGTGTACATTATATAAAGTTGTCATCCTAAATCCCTTGTTCACTGTGCTGAGGTTGCCTTTGTCTGTATTACTGGGTAAATGACTATGTTTATTATAACTTATGTCTCTCTTTCCTTTATTGTACGTCTTCATTTATTTTTTCTTTTTTTTTTTCTGGTACCAGGAATCGAACTCATGACCTTGCACTTGCCAGGCAGGTGCTGTGTCGCTGAGCTAAATCCCCAGCCCCCCGTACGTTTTTATTTTAGATGCACATATCCTCTAGAAATTCTTTTTTTTTTTTTTTTTTGTGGGGGTAGAAATTCTTAATTAGGTCTCAAAGTTATATTTTTTGATAACCTAAAAATTGTTAGTGTAATTATTCTACTGTCTTAATTCACTGGTAGTTTGGCTCAACAGAAAATCATAGTTTTGAAATAAGAAAGGACTTTAAAATAGTGAAAGAGTGTTAGACCTTGTTTAGGTTTAGCCTAGGTTTCCTCTGATATTCCTCAAAAGGAATAAAATACTGTGGTTTAGTTCTGCAATTACCTTCTAGATTAAGATATGGAGTGGTGGGAGAGTAAGAGAAGTGACAGTTCAGCTGAGAAATTATTGTGATCCACACAAGAGATGTTAATGTCTTGAATAAGTTAACAGTAATGTCGATAACAGGGGATACAGCTCCGCAGTACATCGCCTGTCTAACAAGCTCGAAGTCCTGAGTTTGATTCCTGGTGCCATAAAAACAACAACAACAAAAAAGAGTAGTATCATTTAAAAGTACCATACTGACTTTAAACATGCCAAGATACAGAAATAAGGAAGTAAACTGTTCTCTTCATAGGGACAATTATAGCAGTTGCCAAGCTGTGGGAATGACCATTGCCCTGCTTTGGGGCTTACTGAGTCAGACTAGCTCATTTGTCTTTTTTTTTTTTTTTTTTTTTTTTTTTTTTTTCTCCGGTACCGGGAACCGAACTCAAGACCTTGTGCTTGCCAGGCAGGCGCTTTGCCGCTGAGCTAAATCCCCAGCCCCATAGACTAGCTCATTTGTATTGAAGTGAAAAGAATTATACAGAACATCCAAACAATGAAGAGAGAATAAGACACTACAAAGCACTGTAGTTCAGTGTAATTTTCAGAAGTTTCAGTGCTCGCTTCAGCAGCACATACTCTAAAATTGGAATGCTACAGAGAAGATTCGCATGGCCCCTGCGCAAGACATTTCAAAGCACTGAAAAATACTTTGTGAATACCAAACACTCCTCAAAACAGGATTATCCAGTCTGCTGTTGTACAGTGTAGAAAAATCCAAATGAATTTTAAGGTTGGGTTTGGAAATTAAAAATTTAATTTTCTGTGTAAACATGTATTATTCTCTGCATTTTAATGTCCAAATACATAATAGAATCTACACCTACACATAAAACTAAGAACAATTAATAGCAGATTTCCCGGAAAAGTACCTAGCACATATTGCTATCTCAGTGAACTTTATTCACACTATTATATAATTTACTTCATAGGTTTAGTCATTAAAATGTACGAAATATTTTTATAATAGACATCATGTGCATGAATCATACCTTAATGTCTTTATATAGCAGTTATAAATTCCATGATGTCATTCTATATACACATATAATCATTAACTATCTGTGCTTATGAATTAACCACAGAATTAGGATATCATGGAACTCTAAAGTGTGATATTTATATAACATATAAAAATATTTTATATAACAATATCTTATATGTTATATAAAAGATCGGCTATTTCTGATGTATGCAATTGACATACATAGGTTATTTAACATTTTATTTAGTTGAGCCTTCTTTCCTAAACAGAAAAATATTCTCTCACAACACACAAACATATCTTCATTTACCAATATCTAGACAAATGCCATGAAAATATCATCACGGTCGAGCGATAACATTCAGGAAGTGATAACTTTTTGAAAGCTCTGTTGACCTTTCCAATCCCCTGTAGATTCATTCACTATAATGAATGCTAATTTCCTGAGTGATATCCCTGTGACCTGCAAGAGTTTGCACAACTCTGAAAAGTGCTTCTTAGTCCCTATGGTGTAGTTTGTGCTGTGGGAAAATATGGCTCATTATCTCTCAAAAAATACATTAAAGATGAAGTAGAATGACATTTTTGCTTAATTTAAAGCGGGTGTCTCAAAAGGAATGTGCTTCTCAAAATAAAGTGAAATTTCTTTGCATAAAATAATATGCATTTTTTTTCTTTTTTACTTAGGTTTCTAAGAAAGCATCCATCTATACATCAATTTTAGGACTATACCTAAGGTACAAACGAGTATTAGAAGGAAAGGGATATCTCAGGGCTAACTTCTGTCGTGCACTCAGAGTAGTGATTTTCATCTCTTATTGCTCTGTATGGATCTTTTCAGGTTCTGCAAACTGATGTTTTGGAGTTTTCAAGCTTGAGTGGCAAGGGGAGTATATTTTCTAGTTCAGTGAATTTGTATCTGTGCAAATTCCTAATTACCTTCTATAAACAGCTTTTAGAAGTTTTCTTTAGATATATTTTTGTACAATATGTTATTTGTATATGTTTACAATATGTAATGAATAGATCCACCATGGGGAATTGGTACATGTACATATCTCATCTTGAACTTTTTACTTCCCCTTCCCTTTCCTTTTGTCCCTTCTTCCTCATCCCAGGTCCCCTTCCCATCTCCACAAAGTCTATCATCATTGTTTCCATATAGACGAAAATTTTAGATTTCTCTGAATAAAAGATTAAAGAAAATAATGGGATGGGTAGAAGAGTGTACCAAACATATTCCGGTAGTATAACACACATATCACCCCATTCTTTCCTGTGTATCCTACGTAGGAAGTGTAAAAGAACAATACCTCCTGTATTGTATTGGTCATTTTCTTATCTATAAAACACAATGCCCACGACCACTTTAAGGATGAGAGGTTAATTTTGGCTCACAATTTGGTACACAGTCCACTGA